GGGCCGGGGGGGCCAGCCATGGGAGGCTGCTCTGGCAGGAGGGGCAGGGCCGGGGGGGGCCAGCCACGGGAGGCTGCTCTGGCAGGAGGGGCAGGAGGCCTGTGGAACAGAGGGGTTCCCCAAGAGCCCCTCCCACCCTGCAGGCTCCCCACACCTTCCTCCCAGCCTCTGCTCCCCGCGTCCTTCGTCCCTTCCTCCCACCCCCAGCGGCCGCCCCACAGCGTGGGCCGACTCTCGGGCTCTTCTCCAGAGGTGGACTCCTGCCGCTCCAGCCCCTGCCAGCATGGAGGCCTGTGCCAGGACGGCGGCGGGACCTACCTGTGTGTGTGTCCAGAGGGCTTCCTTGGCTACCACTGTGAGACAGGTAGGCACATGGGCCCAGCCGCCCACCTGGGACTCCACAGCCCCTCCTGGAGACGCCTCCTTGGTCACCCACTCCTTCCCTCCCAGCTCCTCTGCCTGCCCAGGCCTCCCGACCCAGGACAGGCCGCGTTCCCCGCTGCCCATGACAGGCGCTCCCTGCCTGCCCCCTCCTGGCCCCCAGCGGGTCCCTGCCTGCCCCCTCCTGGCCCCCAGCGGGTCCCTGGGGCCCGAGGCTCCACTGCCCCCCAGTGCTGCCCACTGCCCGGGATGCGCTGCCCAGGACCGCGCTCAGGCAGGGCCCAGCCAGCAGCTCGCGCGTGTGGAGGCCGGGCCAGGGAGGCTGGCCGGGACCCTGTCCTCCTCATGCTGTCTCCTCTCTCAGCGAGTGACCCCTGCTTCTCCAGCCCCTGTGGGGGCCGTGGCTACTGCCTGGCCAGCAATGGCTCCCACAGCTGCACCTGCAAAGTGGGCTACACAGGCAAAGACTGCGCTAAAGGTGAGGTGGCCAGGCCTGGGGGAGGCCCTCCCTGCCAGACGCAGCGCCGGCCCTCGCAGCGGAGCCCAGGGGGCTGCTGAGTGGGGAGGGCACGGGTCAGGGTGTCGGGGCCCAGGTGAAACCTTGGGGGTGGGGTCCCAGAGCAGGGAGAGCGCCCCCCAGCCGCCACAGCGGGCAGCTGACCAGCTTTTCTTATTTTGGCTGTACTGCCGAAGACCTCCTCCCACCCACAGCCCTCAGGGTGGAGAGGGTGGAGGAGGGCGGCATCTCCGTGTCCTGGAGCCCACCGGAGGGCTCGGCGGCCAGGCAGGTGCTGGACGGCTACGCGGTCACCTACACCTCGGCGGATGGCTCCTTCCGCCGCACGGACTTTGTGGGCCGCGGCCGCTCCTCACACCAGCTGCGGGCCCTGGGGGCTGGCCGTGCCTACAACATCTCCATCTTCTCCGTCAAGCGGCACGCCAACAACAAGAATGACATCAGCCGGCCCGCAGCTTTGCTGGCCCGCACACGTGAGTGCCGGCCGCCCGCTGGGGTGGGGGTGCCTGAGCAGGAAGCCCTGGGTGGGTGACCAGGGTGGTGAGAAGGCCCCTGGACAGACCTGCGCTGGGCGTCTGGGCTGGGGGGGGAGGAGAGGAGCCCAGTGGACAGACCTGCGCTGGGCGTCTGGGCTGGGGGGGGAGGAGAGGAGCCCAGTGGACAGACCTGCGCTGGGAGTCTGGGCTGGGGGGGGAGGGGAGCCCAGTGGACAGACCTGTGCTGGGCATCTAGGCTGGGGGGGGAGGGGAGCCCAGTGGACAGACCTGCGCTGGAGGGGAGACTGGGAGGGGAGGGAAGTCCAGTGGACAGACCTGCACTGGAGGGGAGACTGGGAGGGGAGGGA